ATATAGTAAAATTCAAGCAAGTAATAATAGTTAGTTATAGTTTATTTCAGTACTTAATTTGCATATTTCATGAGACATTTTGGTAAAAACACGAAAAAGTCCGAGGTTGCTGTGAAGAAGATACATAAAAAGCGCAAAATGTTTTCATGAATCCACTTTTATCAACCTTTGATCAGTAGATTGAAGTAAAAAACTTCAGTAACCCGTTCTGGACTTGGGAGAAAAAAGCTTTTTAGTGAGGGGGGGTTTGTCTTGATTTCAAAAAGCCGTCAAATGGGTATGAATACTTATTTTTCTCCTTTTTTCCCTTTTGCTTAAAATTCAAAATTTTGCTTATTTTTGACACTAGAATGAATGTGAAAGTCAGGAAAAATAATAGTTTGTTCAAGCGTTTAATATTTTGCGAGCAGTGACGACTTGAATATGGGCAATTTTCAATTGATAATAAATGCAAATTTAGCGATAACGGTGGTCCAGGATTTATGCGCTGTAAAAAAAATCATTTTGATGAATTTCGAGAAAATAAAGTCATTTTCATTATTTACTAGTAATTACCTTTCTATGGTAAAAGTTTGAGGGAAAACTATTTTCTGACCCGAAATGCAGTGGGCCGCTTTTACAGAGACTGCCTCTTAAAAAGTCAAATTCGCTCTTCTTTTGAAGTTAGATAGGCCATTATTAGATGTGAATCCCTGGGTAGTTGGTTTTCGAAAATTCTATTTTATTTTCAAGAAAACGACAACAGAAGAGGTTCGACCGAAGCCCAAGCATGAGACGCTCAAGAAGAGTGAAAATGGACAAACTTTGAACAGAGCGCGCGTAAAAAAACCCCATCTATGACAATTTTTGAACTTTCTTCTTAATATGTCACCCTTTTCACTTCATTGGACTGGATTTCAAGCTTATTGGGAAAGGGACGAATTTCTGGCGAGGGAAAATAGAAGGCCTGTGTTTACATATGCTAATTAGTTTCCTCAAAAGAAAAAAAGATTTAACTATGTGCAAGATCTCTGATTGAGAGTCGAGGAAGAATGCATCTTTTCAAGACATTAAAGATTGATTTGGGGAAATTAATTCTGACTGCATAGAAACCTGTTGAATTTGGTTGAAATACATTCGAAAATCACGCTTCCCGAATCAACGCAGGCTAAGGATTTTCGTAAAGATTGCCATGAAATTTACCCTGAGAACTAAGAAAATATTGTTCGTGCCGTTTTTTGAAAGTTCGGTGTGGTTTGATAGATTTAAGCTCCATTAGAAAGGTTTTGGGATTGTCGGTATATGAGCAAAAAACTCGATCTTTGGTGATTGCGTGACCGAGGTTCCACTTAACGTTTAAAAGTTTGATTACTGTAAAATTCACGCTAAAAATTACGATAAAAACGTTATTTGAATATATTCATAATCTTATTTTAGCCAAATAAGATTTGGTTTTTTTTTTTTTTTTGCTTTTACGATTATTTTTTCACTTAACAGGTATAATGTCACTCTTTTGGCAAAGCAGTTTGCTCAAGGTGACTACTCTGTAACTTCTGAGGTAGCTGCAGCACTATGGGAGTATCCACCAGGAGCATATGGTCGTCATAACGAAGAAATTCAATTAAAAATTCCAAAGGTCTGTTTGGCTACTTTAGTAAACTGCACTGTACTAAATAATCTCATATTTCAAACATTACTTAAAGTAAATTTCACCGACCCATAGAAAGACTATTAAATATAGTTGGAAAATCAGAAATCAGAAATCATATATAGTTGCCGAGATAAGCGAACAACCAACAATTGCATCGTTTCTCTCCTCATTCCCAACGAGTCTTTTTTCAATGGCTAATAAACTCAAGATTTTTGATAAATTTGATTTTGATCATTGTGATAACAATGATGTGCTGATTATGATGATTACCATTATTATCATTTTTTCATTCAGAAATGGGCTATGGTTAGTTATAACAAGTTTCTGACTCTTGGCGAGAACAGCAGTCAAACAGGAGTAWTTTTTCACCCGTTGTATGCTTTCTTAACGGAAAAGGTAACTAAATCAACAAATAGCTTAGTCTGAATCAAAGCGATTTATTATGGCAACTCCGCGATAAAGGCATTTCGAGCAGCTGTTAGGTAGTAGTCCTTTACAGAGCAGATTATTTTGACGGTACATCTAGTGTTTGATGTATTCACTGATTTATGGTTATAATCACCCTGAAACACTAGTTAAAAATAATAGTTTTAACCTTAAACCTTTGTTTCTTGAGAGAACTAATTTTTACATCATCATAATCGTTCGTTTTCTTACGTATGTCCTGACGACCGTTAACATGGATCCCAATATTTCAGGACAATGATTGAGCCTTAAAAACGATTTTTTGATTTGACAACAGATGGAAGAAACAGCTGAACACCTGCAAAGATTGAAGGACATGTCCAATATACCAACTTTCCTACATTCCGCCACTTTCATCAAAGAAACAGGTAAGCTAACTTAAAGTTAAGGGACAAGATATATAGATTCTATGGTAGTATTTGAAACACTGCATGTAGCCCATTGTAGTAAGTTTACTTGCCTATAGAGGCCTTGCGCCATCACGTGATGGCAACCACGACAGGAAGCACAGCAATAGAGCATTTTCTCCTGGGAAAGTGAGTTCTTTCTCATGTAAATCAGATTAGACAAGATTCAATTGTTCTCGCCTCCTGTCATGGCTGCCATCACGTGATGGTGCAAAGCCTCTATTGATGGTCTTTCTTCAATTAACCTTAAAATTTCATTAAGACGTACCCTGAAACAACCTCAAAGTCAAGGTTGGGCTAATTCCATGATCGAATTGGAATTTAGCTTGTTAGGTTTTGCAGACAAAACCGGGAAAAAATCTCAAATCAAGGGATAGACCTAACGAAACCAACCCATATGCAAGGCCTCAGAGGCAGTACACACGAGTATACTGCCGCTACTCCACCTTGATTATCTAAAGGAAGGAAGGAAGGAAGGAAGTAGTGAAAAAATTAGGGAAAGAAAGAAAAAAAGTCTACTATAGAATACAGTGAAGAAATAGAAAACGCGCGCGCGTGCTGTGTGCTGTCATAAAGCACGCGGGGTTTGGCAGAACACGAGAGAAGTGTTAGGAGAAGCATGACGCGTAGCGGAGTGCTTGTCGACACTTCTCGAGTGTTCTGCCAATCCCCGAGTGCTTTATGTCTGCAAACAGCACAGCAAGAAAGTTTTTTATTTCTTTTATAAAATACAACTTACAATAATAAATAGGAATGACGCAACGGAAAGTGCGCGCGCGTGCAATGTGCTCTCATAAAGCACGCGCTCCAAACCAATCAGAATGCAACATTCATAACAGTTATTTTATAATATTACTTTATCTTAAGCTTTCAAGTTTCTTTTGTCTAACTGATTCAGGTGTGAGTCTGACTGGTCTTTTACCACTTGTTGATGCCTACCGTGTACAAGCGCCAGCTATCGATACTGTTGCCTTCACGAAGTGGTTATACAATGAGGTATCTCTATGCCAATTTTGTTCTTATTATCTTATACACTTTCTTAGCTGAACAGTTATTTACTTGAGGTACATGCAATACAAACAGCCTCGGGGAGGAATTTGCGGCCGTTAAACAAGTTCGAGAATATATATTACAATAACTTCATAAACTTCATAACTTCATAACTTCTTATCGGTCATAAAATACCTTTTTTCCCGGGTTACAGTAAAAACTCGCATAAAAGAACGCTTGTGTTTGGGTTTCAGGCTGATTTTGTTCTTATATTTATCAAACTCATGAATAATTCATGAGAAAACCCCAAAAGAAATCACGACCGTGAAGAGTGTTGTAAATCTGATACAAAACTGTGTTCATTTGCATAAACTTTAAGTTGGATTTTCTTGGACAGATTCACTTTAATTTTGAAAATTTTAGTGAAACACAAAGGAACTAACCTAGACGTTTGATAAGTCATATACAGTATTCGTGTCCGTGTTGTATCAGATATACAATCACTCGGCTACTCCTCGTGGTTGTATATCTGATACAACACGGCCACTCATACTGTATATATTACATCTTATATCTTATATATCTTATATATTTCTGCAAAATCAGCTTGAAAATGTTCTTAAGGTGGTATTACACAAAAACCCTAACCCTAAGCATTTTGATGCAAATTGTCAAAATTAAAAACATCATTAATTGTAATCTTTAATCACTTCTTAATCATACAGTTGATTTTCTCAATTTGCCGAAATGGCTACATGCTACATATTTCAGACATATTTTTTTTGTTTTTTATCCAAATGCCACGAAATCAACAAGGAAATCTAACGATGTATGGTTCTAGGAGTTAAACCAAGCAAAACCAAAAAATTGAAAAGATAAATAAAAATCAATTTCTCTAACTTGTAGATTTTGTTTGTGATATGTTTTACTTATTAACAAAATCAAATCTACAGTCAGTCATGCTTTGATCCCGTTATTGAAAGCAGTATTTTCTATAATGGAAGATTTAATAATTGTCTTTTATTATCTTAAGCTCTTTGACAAGAGTGAAAATAAGTCTTGAAATAAGTCTTAACAGTCCAAACATGAGATTTTCACAATGGCTCTCTAAAAGTCTGAGGGGTGACCCAACATATACTTCAGGGGCCACAGGGAGCCCAAATAACTAAATAACACTTATTACAACTTACAGAAGGTTAGAGCTAAGAGATAATTTAGCCATTTCATGTGTTAAAGAAGTACTACGAACTTAATTTCCTAGGTATTATGCCTGATTCATCGCTTCAAAATTTCATCTATTTTTGCAAAGCGATTCACTTTTGATGCTATATTTTAAATATTGTGAGTCTAAAAACTGTTACAAATAAACATGAGGTAATATAAACAGAAGTTTATTTGAGCTTCCACTTCATTATTGAGAAATAAATAATAAAATGATGAATACAAATTTCTGTAAGAGCACGCTGATTTTGACCTTCAAATCGATATCTTATTATTCAACTTGTAGAGAACATTCTTTCAGAGAATGTCTTTTAATTTACAAATTTCGCTCAAGCAAGGGAATTTTTAAAGAGTCAAACAATTCTGAAAAGAGCCTTGAGCAAAAGATTAGCCTGTCTTACCGTTTTAAATGAAGCTTCAAGATTTCAGAAGCGACTTTCTAGCCTTAGTAATCAAATGAAACTCGATCACGTTAGGAGAACCGGCGTGTCGAACCGCGGGTTCGACGGAGTGTTGGAAATTGGACTTGAAAATAGATTTTTTTAATGATTATGGCATTATTGCACAAACGATTGGCCGACAATGTCTTTCACTGTAAAACAGTAGCTTTATCACTGTCTTTTGAAACTTTTTCCATTTCGTACGTCTTACTGATACTCATGCAAACTTCCCCAGCCAGGTAACCCAGTCTAACCCGCCCCCAGGGTCTTGTTGTTATAAATCTCCCGTTCTCATTGAAAACATAAAAGCGAGTGCTTTATGAGAACACACAGCATTCTTGCCAGAAAACTCAAAAAACGTTAAGAAGCACTCGGTCATGCGTCTTGCTTCTCCTAACACTTCAAACCGTGTTTTACTAAACCCCATGTGCGTTATAAAAGCACGCGCTCGCTTTTCTATTTCGAGTGTTTATCTAAAATTTTGAGGATGTACCATGTCTTACCTACACTTTGTTTTCTTAGTGTCGAGCAAAAGGGGCGAAATTTGTCACAGGTGAAATAAAAGGAAAACTGATTGAGCAAATTGAAGACCTCAAGAAAAAATACAATGTCGATTTGATTATCAATTGTAGCGGACTGGCAGCGAAAGAGTTGGCAGGAGACGAGAAAGTATTCCCCCTCAGAGGTACCGATCATAGATAAGTTTAATTTTCACCAAGCCAAGCCAACCCAGCCAACCCAACCAACCCAGCCAACCCAACCAACCCAGCCAACCCAGCCAACCCAACCAACCCA